AATAATGGGCATATAGCTTTGGTCGGAAAAGCTATGTCTTCATTTTTTTTTGATTTTTTTAAATTTTTGAATTAATATTTCTGAGAATAAGCGCATACAAATTTGCCACCAACTGAGAGTAAGCGTCTATGATTCTCAATAATTCCAAACATTTGAGAATAAGCGTCCATATTTGTTTCCAATTTTTTTTTTTTAGAATTTCAATATGAATTCTTGGTGAAAAGGAAAACGCAATAATAACTGTGAACTTATATTCTTATGCAGGTATAAAGAAATTACTAACCAATATTGAAGTTTTCGTAACAATTTTATTTATAAAAAATACAAGTACTCAAAAAATGTAAATATTCGATAATAACAATATTTAACTCATATTTTCGATTTCCCTGCTAAGCTGGGACAATTTTGGGCTGTGAAGTAAGTCCAAATGTTATCTAATTTGTATTGAGTGTCTCTTGCCTAAATATATCTCAACTCGTCATGTGATAAAATCGCTACTAGAATGCAATCGTCATCGGTATGATCTTGATTAGCCGCCCATTCGATGTGACGCATTAAATCTTTAAGTCGGCAATGTTTGTATGTCTTCTACCGAGGAAAAAGCCTATGAAATAATGACAACGCTGGACGTCGATTATGTTTTAGTTGTATTCGGTGGTGTTATCGGTTATTCTGGTGACGATATAAATAAATTTTTATGGATGGTACGAATAGCAGAAGGTGAAAATCCCATACAAATGTTACACTGTTATAAATATTTATTTGTCGCCTTCGAAAATATTTATACCAAATCAAAAAGCATATCCATGAAACGTTAACTTTTCCTGCGTTTCAATCGTAGAAAGTATCCTAGAGTCATGAAACCTTCCTTTAATGTAACATCATCTGAAAAGCCAATGCGACTAGCACCGCTTCTGTATTCTTCAAACGCATGTTATTGCTAACTGAAATTGCGCAATTTCGACCATTGACATCGGACCTATGAATCGGAGTGTTAATTAACATGAAAGAAATAGATAACAGGGACACATTTCAAAAAATAGGTCTGCGACCTAAAAGTACAAAATAAGCGAAGATAAATAATGTTAAAATCAAGCCAAACTAAATTCCCCAATTCACTCCATGAAAGTCAACTCTAATCGCATGGCCACATACCAAATTACATTGGAAGAATCGACATTTTCTCATTTTCCACATTTTTAAGAAATTATTTAAACTTTTAGAAGGTTGTAAAGCGAAACTTAATAACCTGCACATCCACGGCACCCCAGTTTCATTTTTTCACAGTAGCTAAGAAAACTTTCGCCTTATCATTCTCATTTGTGACATATGTATTTAGAAATTTTTTCTTTTCAAATATTAATTAATTTACATAAACATATGTTTTGTTTACAATATTTTGCCAAAAAAATCTCGAAAAGTTCTATTTTAACTATATTTTGATTTAAATACCTCCGAGACTTCATTTAAGAGAATTCTGTTAATGGCTGACAGAGCTCTGTCAATGTTCTTTGGTTTGTATCTTTGCTAATTATATTTAAATATAACTTCACACCCTTAACTCATCTTGCTGTGTAAGTCGGTCTTTCTCTTGCGGGTCATATATTTAAATCATTTAAAATAAACAAATTTTATAGCAAAGAAATGAAATCATTTTTCAATAAATTTGATTTCAATAAATATAATTTAATTACTAAAGTGAATAAATAACATTAATGTATTGAATAAAGAAGGTGTGATGCAAAAAGTGAAATTCCAAAAAGCAAATATATTTTTTTTCGATAGCAAAACTTTTAACAATAAAACAGTTATATATACACTCTTATATATAAATTGTGATAAATAATAGAAGTAGCAAAAGTAGTAACAATTCTTCAGAATATAAACAAAAATTAGAATTTGAAATAACAACTACAAACGATGCGTTTAATATGACCAGTTTCCAAATTCGGGCTCAACATGTTCGTAACCGGAGAAGTCGCTGCAACATCTAAACGAACTGTGTTAGCTTTGGCAATAAATACAAATATTAAAGCCATCTTAAATGCTTCCAATGGAGAGTTTATTAGCGAAGAACTCTTGCTGTAAAGGAATGAAAAGTTACATCGAGAAATACCTTGTAAACATCACAACAAACTTTTCATTGGCCATTTTTGCTGCGTTAGCTTTTTGCTCAAATTTCCAAGAAGATTAGATAGGTGTAGTAAAGCCATCAGAAAGGAACACTACCAGCAATATTTAATACAATTGTAACAAAAAAAAGGGCGTGACATGCTGAAATTCATGATGTCAAGAGTGTTCCATTTGACGGAACACGGACTTACATAGCAAAACTCGCCCAGGGAATGTTTATAATATATATATATAACCTGCAATATCTTACTGTCCCCATTGTTGTCAGCAACCCCAATCCCTTTCCGATTAACATTGCTTGTCAAAAAACGCGATATTTTTCGAGATGGAATTCAAAAAATCACTGGGAGTTAAAACAAAATAGTAGCCAACGATGAACAATAGTTTTGTTAATCTATTTATAATTTGTCTTGACGTAAATGCATTTTTCATTGCAAAAAAACCGATTGAATTAATTTGTAATCCCAATGCGTAAATAAAATTTTATTAAGAATAATTATTCATACTCCACGCTATATTATGAATGGCAGCGGTGCTATATCTACGTTTATGTTTCGTAGTACGCTGCGATCTAGGCTTTCACCGTACCTAAAAATTATTATATTTCTAATGAAAGCAAATGTCTATTAAGCCAAGTGCGTGTGGAAACGTTTTATGCCGGTCACCGAAAGATAGGCCTATTAGTTTAGTAATATCGTTTCGTTGATTCGGTAGTAATAAACATTCATTGTGTGGCAAAAATGTTTATTCATTTTTTTCTTAAGGGTGAGTTCAATGGGAAACTTATGACGTCTTGTTGGCGCTGGAATTGGTTAGCTAAATGGTGGAGGAATGAAAACACGGAAGTCCTTCATTTTTGTTATAAGCTGTAATTTATCTCATTTCTATTTTCTACGTTGATGATCTCGAAATAGAAATAAAATTCTTGGCAATTTCGGACGGCTTCAGTTCGATCAAAGCTATGATTTCAAGTACGATTGAAATATTTGAGATATATTTTGTTATCCGAAGGCAGCGAGAATGTTTTCATGGTGCCAGATCAAATAAAAATGAAAGGATTTTGGATAAATTAATATTAAGCTTATTTTTATCAACAAAAGCTTGCCTTGTTTTTATGCCGAAAATTGAACTTTTCTCAAATATTAACAGATCACACAAAAATCAATATTTTTAAAATTCTTTCCTTGTCCTAGTAGCTATTGGCTTTCAAATTTTTTTTCAATTTTTTTTTCAGTCGAACTTCTTTGGATTATTTCTTAAAAAATCCGCCTGAGTAGCCAAAGGCGAGGAATCTCGACTAGCAAGTGCAACGAATTCTCTGGTCGTACAACGAATTCTCTGGTTGTGTTGACATATTTTTTCTTTTGTTTATAACAGACTTTTTTACACAATTTTTAATGAAATTTTCAAAGTTGCTTTTTTTTTCTTATAAAATGCCAAAAAATAATAATAATATATCCGCCTGAGTAGTCAATGGTCGTGGGTTCGAATCTCAAGTGCGGTAGAGTTTTTAATAAAAGTCGATAGCCTTAGATGCTAGTGCTTTTAAGAGTTTAGTCTTAGAATTTATTTCTCTGACGAAATTAATAATAATAATAATATTTCTTAGAAAAATATAACTGATTCCAACTTTTTTGGTTTCAATCGAACTTCTTCGGTTTTGTTTCTTATAAAAATATAGCCGATTTCAACTGTTTTTGGTTTCAATAGAACGTTTGTGTAGTGTTTCCATGCGTTGCGTATGAAGTAATGTGTCGTAAGCCCCTTGACGATACAGGAGTAAGCGTTTATAGAAATCGTTTGAAGGAGCAGCTACATGACATACTATGTCCACGTTTCATAATGGAGAAATCCCTACAAAATTTACAGCAAGAACGTCTTCGTTGTCTCAACAAAAACATCATTATAACTCGCCGATACAGGTACATTTGTTATAGTTGTAATCTTCCAATTATTGGAAAATCCATTAAAAATTAATGTAAATATGATTGCTTCACTTGACGTACCTTATGTACCTTTATATTACCGAGATTTCTATAGTACTGGTTGTTTTTCTTTAGCCTATTCCATTCCAAAGAGTGTTTTCATTGTTTCACTGAGTACACTTATGCTATTGTGAATGTTTGGTATACACAAATCTGCTCCTGAACGTTTTTCATCATATTTTCATCATATCAATTGCGAGGCGCACTAGCTTTGTCATGTGCTTGTAACGCGCAGATTAGCTAGGTCGGTATTCTTGAACCTTTAACTGATTTGGTTTGGTTGGTACGCCTTTCTGCAGGTGTATTTTAAGATACAAAACCTCCACAAGAAAAAAAAACTTACCTCAATCGCTTGTATTCACATTATTACTTGGAATACTTGTTTTTTTTTGCTTTGGCTTATGCGTTTTTAAATTCAAATATATGTCAGATAAGGAGGTAAAATGTTCATTGAAACTTCTTTTCTTTCGTTAACATTAAAAGAGGTTCCAAGCGGTGGTTTGACATTAAAATATTCTTTGAATTATAGACTTTTAAATTTACAAACTAATTGGTAAAGATGTTTTCGGGTTTTTTCGAACTCCTTCTAAAATCAGAGCAAATTTGTTGGCTGATCAACTGGATCATAATTAACAAAATATTTCAAAATCTTTACATCTTCGTAGGAGTCTTAGTTGGATAACAGCCAATACGCAGTTTTCTCACTTCTTTTATAATGAAACTTTTCTCATTTTTTTACTTGATTTAAACAGTTTTATTTTGGATATGTATTAGATATAAATTTTAAACTTTTCCAAATGTCATCAACCATTTTTAAAAGTAACATTAATTTTTATAAACACATATAAACAAGTAAATTTTGAAAGTATCCTTTATAACGTTATTTATAAAAAAATTATATTTTATTTGTCCTTGGTTTTCCTGTTCATTTATAACAGAAGAATCGAAAATGAAGACGAAAAAACGATAAGATGTTCGTTCGTCTATTGACGAAAGGTTTACGGTCGCAGAAATCAAGGTAGAAAGCCCAATAAAAAAAATGTAACTTTACATAAAAAAACTACAAATCACTTATGCTATAAAAACCTTTGCAATTTTGACATTTTATTTTTTTTGGCTCGTCGGGGCGATTCGTTGGTAGAAGAGTCCAATATGTGCTTATCAAAATTTCGTCACGTTTACGTCGAAGATATTCAAAATTTAAGTTCTCCTTATATTTACTATGGCAATGTTTAAATATATGGAATAGTACCGATTCCGTTGTCAAAATCATTTTAAGCTTATCTTCTATGCGTTTAGCATAAGTTTCAATAAAAGACTTGGTTAAATTGAGAAGGAACCGCACAGTTTCCTCAGATAAATTTGAGCAAAGATATTCTATTAACTCATTCAATTTAGGTGAATCGATAATGTGCTTGTCAAAAGATGGCCCAAATTCGCTAAGGGAAAGCATTGCACCATTTTCTTGAATAGTGAAAGAATTTACGTTTTCAAAGTCAGCACTGCGATGCTCAGTTGGTGATGTGTTGTCCGGTGTGGATTCAAATTGTAACATATTGGAGCCATTTTGACGATCAGTTTCAACTGCATTCAACTCGTTACTCAACAATATGTCATATCTTCCCAATGATGCAATTCCTGTATTTGCAGTACCATTTAGTTTTAACTGCTTTTTAGACTTGAATAGATCTTGCAGATTTTGTCGGTCAGGTATCTCATTAATATTTTGATAATTCTTTTTGATTATGAAATACCAGCGAACGTTTGTTATAACTTCGTCAATTTTATTGTGATCATACTCAATATCCTCGTTGATATTCATATACCAATATTTAAATATTTGAAAGAGAATCGATTCTGTAGTGACAATTACTCTTAGTTCGAAATTCTTCAGATACTCGCTTGAATGGTCAATGAATCTCTTGGTCAAGTCAAACAGAAAACGTACAGTTTTCTCGGAAAAGTTCGAACAAAGAAAGTCTGTGATACGATTTAATTCATTTCGATTGAGAATGTTGATTAGAAATCCTAGCCCGAAATCTTTAAAGAAAATGGGTGCACCATTTTCTGCGGGCAATTCTTCATTTGGCATTGATAGCATAAGCGCATTCTCTGCAGAGGTTTGAATTTCGGCTGATTGAGCCTTTTTAGTTGTGATGGAATCGGAAAATTTCTTATCTGACTTAGAGGGCTTGAACGAATTTTTTACAACAGGTTGAAATTCAATAGATTGAGCTATTCTGCTCCATTTGATCAACCCGTCGAGATGCTCTAAAATTTCATCAGATATAGAGACCAAATAACAAAAATCTTGATCTTCTCCTAATTTGCCATAACAATATTTTAGTATACGAAAAAGAATGGATTCTGTACTGATATCTTTTTGGAAAACCATATCACGACACTCATGTAATCTTTCAATAAAAGTCTTTGACAAATTCATTAGGAAACGCATAATGTCTTCAGGAAATTTTGAGGCAATAAACTCTGTTAATTTACACCATTCTTCCCAATCGTAGATATTTTTGCAAAACTGATAGCCGAACCCTTTAATGTGAACTTTTGAACCATTCGCTAATAGAAGAAAAACGTTATGATTCAGAACCGGAACCGGGTCATGTGACATAATTGAGTTTGTATTTGTTGTTGTCGACGTAACTTTTGGTTTTGGTTTTATTACAGATGTAGATACATTGGGCCCATTTTTATCGTTAATACTCTGTCGTTGAGCAAGTGCATTGACGGTAACGTTATTCTTCAACACGGTATTCTTCACTTTCGGTGCGACTGTTTTATTTTGATTTAACTGCTTATCAATTTTAAACAGATTATTGAGAAATTGCCGATCGGGTATATCGTTAATATGACGTATAATATCAATTTTGCCTTGAGTATTACCGCGTATTCGGACGGTTTCGTTTAAATATTTATCAAATATTTTTCTGAAATTATCATAGAAATCATTAAAAGTTGATGAAATCAAAATTGAAAAATCTTGTTCGGTTTGGGTTAAATGTTCATTCAGCACTTATATTCCAATATATGGCGGTATAAGAAAATGTTGCGCCTAATTTATTGCATCGGGTGCTTGACATGCATTGATTACCGAAATTTGATTCGGATGAATATAAATGTCAATCTTAACAGCCAAAATTTTTTAAAATAATCTTAAAATTCCACATCATGTTCATTTAGGAACATTTTTTAAAAACGTTTTCGGACGCTGGCACTATTAGTTTTAAGCGAAAACAAACGGACGGATCTATTTAAAATCTCACATTATACGCTACGAGATTTCTTTTATAGTGATGAGAAAAACAAAAGTACCTACGATTGTAGATATGTGAGCAAAATTTAAAATATTGATAAATGAAAATTATTATATATAAGCGCTGGAATCAACATTCCAGTTATTGTATATCTTTTACTATTTAACTGATTTATAGGACTCGTTAATTACCTTTGACGTTTATAAAGTGAGTAACGGTACTTCTCAATATGTCCATTACGAGCGTTTTCCGCGATGCTAGAAGCCATTTGAAAATTATAAACAGAATGCGTAAACAGCACCAAAGACGCTGCCATTTGAACGACATCCAATTTGGAGATATCATCACCATCCCGGTATTTCTAAAAAAAAAATATATTATCCTATCTCTTTTAAATGTTTTGCTTTCGTTATGCTTACCAAAATTATATCTAGTATACCCATTCCCAGACCACTTCCTGATAGTACAATTGACGTAACATTCATACCATTAATCAGCATTTCAAGACCCTTTCGTACGAACAGAAGACGGTTTGCTATCAACTGCCTTAAATAAATTATCTTAAGTACTTACAGTTGTCACTTTGCCAGCTGTTGCCATGTTTGTCATACATTTTGTCGCTTCTAACGATGTTATCCCAACCACACCGGATGCAATACCAAGCCAACTACGACGTGCGTCCCGATCTATTATGTCTATAGATTGTTCATGATTGCTTCGATCGACTAAATTTGTAGCAGATAAAAATACTGACGTTGTCCCCATCGTATAAGCGAAGCAATTGACTGCAGTGACGATTGGTGGTGATATAGGCAAAACTGAAACTGCCAGTGATACACACGAAGTTGCAATCGTCGTGGCTTTTTGAACCGTGTCCCATAACATAACTTTAGATTTCCCATTTGGAGTTGTATAACTTCTTAATACAACCTCATCATTTTCAAAATTATATACACCACGATTTGGTGCCACCATGATTCCCGGTGGTAAAACATTCTCATTAATATAAGATTCCCAGTTTTGATAAACACGTCCAATTTCATCAACGTAAATCATACAACAACCCATACTATCACCTTCCGCTGGAAAGGAAAGAATGATCAGTTGTTTCTCAATCACTTGAAGCATGCTAAATAGCACACACCAACACATTTTCGTATTCGAAATACGGGATGAATAGAAAATTCTATTGCTTTCTCTGGTTCTTTGTCGTTTGTAACAGCCACATAAAATATGTAAGAATATAAAGTGCCGTTATTGTACTTTCCTATAAGTATTTTCGACTGTTAAATAAAAGTCGTCCTCATATTTAATATTAAATCAATCTTACTTTGTTTCCAAACGTTTGTAAACAAATTTTCACGCATTCTTTCAACTACATGTTGGTCCTTTGATTGATCCGGTAGAAGTGCTTTGATTTTTTTCTCTAAAAGATTACTTTGCTCAGCTGAATAGCTGATGTGTGGATATATTTAGTTTAAAATACAAAGGTTAATACTATGTTGGACATTATAATCTATTATAATAGGCCTTAATGGCTTCGGGATTACGTAAGCGTCAATAAATGAATAAATAATACTTGATAACATGAACACATAGTATCGTAACTTACAAATTCTAAATAATTTGGTCGTTGAAACCAAGGGTCAAAGCAAGTTCCTGTTGCACTTCTATAATAGTTTTACGGTATGCCATGATTCTCTACAATTGATGAAGATTTCTTAAATTGATAAAATTTCGTAGCCCTATAACGTTTTATATTAATTTATTTATAGATAATTTATAAAATTTACTTAATTTGATTAATTTATCCAGTAATTTAATAAATGTAAAAATTCACTCCACGTTTACACAAGTAGCCACAGACAGTCAAAGCCGTTTACGATTGATTTCAATGCTGACGTTGTATATTACAGATGAACTATAAAATAAAAGTACGGGAATAACCGTTTTAAAAAGGCTCTATACATACTTTTTCACAGTGATGAAAAAGTGGGCAAAAGTGTTATCGATAACATAAAATTTAGCATTTATTTCAGTAATATATTAAGGGATTTGGACTCTTGCAATCACTCAATTTAGCGAATCCAAGCATATTTACAGCACGGTACGATATTTAAATATTGGTCTTCCCTCTTCTACTATTTTTTATTACTGTTTTCTAATAGTACGAAAATATTTACTAACATTTTAGTTAACGCTTTCTGAGTCCTCTTAACTACATCCTCCGAAGAAAACGTGAGGTCTTTGGGGAGGAATCAATATCCGAACTCTCCTCGTGGAGGATGTTTTTCCATAAAAAATATAAGAGGATAATAAATAAATATATGAAATAAGACATAAAATAAAATCGTATGCACTTCTATGTATACCGTACCGCATAATAACGTATAATATAGATAAATTTGCCCGAATAGCCGAATTCAATTGTCGTGGCGTAAATTTTAAATGCGGGAGAATTTTCAATAAAGCCGATAGTCTTTAAAAGCTAGTGCTTTAAGACTTTAATCCTAAAATTATTTCTCCGGTTAAATTAATAATAATAACTATAAATTTGATATAAGTCGTTTTTATTCCTTCTGCTACCTTTTTTTTTTATTTAACTTTTTTGTAACCACACAAAACAATACATTCCTACAGTAGACTTCACCAATATAGTTAAACAAAATAAACGAATTACTTAAACATCTTTCTGGATTGTATTTTGATCATAATTTATGCAAGTGCGCCGTTTCTGGATTGTATTTTGGTCATAATTTATGCAAGTGCCCCGTTTCTTGCTTTGACAAATATATTCTGAATTGAAGACAGATTGTCTTTATTGCTTGATTTTCATTCCTCATACTATAACATAGAGTATAAACCAAAATTTTAATTCATATAACATAAAAAACATTTAAATTACCAAAAATAAACTTTACTTTAACTTCTATATATAAAATCAATTGTACCTATTTCTTCTTCGTTGTTTTTCTCTTCTTCTTTTACGTGTATATATGAAATTATATGATTTATAAATTCCTAACAAAGTCTCGTAAAAAGGCACCCGGAAAACCGGAATAAAATATAATTGTGTCAGGGCTCTTACTAAAAAAAAGGCGTATTTCTCTTTGCTTCCTTACTTCAAAACCGAAGCACTTGTCAGAACGGGTAATATTTGGTTTTTATATATGCATGTTCTAGCTTTGAATGCATTTAACTTAAATTTCTAAGCTTTATAAGCACCCAAAGCTTTTATGTGGAAGACGCTTAGTTTGACGTTTTTATTACATATATATACATATGTATTTATACAACTTGACATCTCAATTGTGGCACAAATTGTATTAAAAAGCACAATAACCACAAATTAGTAAACAACACGGAAATTATAATTGATAATAAAGAGACACTTCCTTTGGAACTTTTAAAGGGTGCGGTTCTAAGCTCGCTATTTTGATTTTGTCGCCACTTTTCTCTTCACTTCCGTGCGTGATTTTCATTAAGGCAGTTGCAGTACATATCAGCACTTTTTAATTTTGCATGATAGCTTGTAAACTGTTTACTTAAAAAAAGTTATATATTTGGACTTTTATCTTCGTTTCTGCCCTAAAGATTTAATTATTTTCAATTTTGTAATGCCATCCGCAGGCTTCCTATCAGTACAACCGAGTTTGATCATATTTCCAAAACTGATTAACAAATAACAACACGTCGCGTTGATAATAAAATCAATCTGCCCTTATCAACCATCAATGAAACAATGCGGCGGCTTTAACCATATTCCTTATATTAGGTAAGTGAAGTGATCATAATTAAATAAGTTTTTTTAAAATCATTACAATGTATAAACACTTTTGCAGGTGAGTGCCTATACTGGTTCTTTCAGCGTTCGTCCTCGCCAATTCCTCCGCTTTTAGCATTAATGGATACAGAACTGCACAGCCCTTTTATTCCCTAAAACTATTTGAAAACTAATACAGTTATAGCAAGCATGATTGGAGGATCAAATTCATAACTGTATGTGATGCTGTATATTTTGAGACAACATCTCAATACCCTGAACGTAGAAACGTTCCCACTCTCCCCAATCGCCTTTAGAGACTTGTTTACAATCGATAATATATAAAAATATTTAAAATTCCAAACTTCCTTCAGGATTCCAACTGTGCTGCGCATCAACTTCCTTAAAGAATCTGCTCTACTTATACTCTAGAAATAGGGAAGAGTCTTATTGTAAATCAGAGTGTTTTTGTGTCCTTTGGGCGAGTGGACCCTTCCAGAATAATGTGTTAAACAAATTTACGCTGATTACTGAAGACGCTTACGCTTCTGCCTTGCTAAGTTACGGTTCAATATGAGTTTTTTTGCACTTGCTTCTTTGCATAATTTCATCCAATGACCATTTAAATTGAAAGATTTTTTCATAATAGCAACTAAAGCGTCAATTTCAAAAACCTTTGTAAGTCGGGACACTTTCTAAACAAAAAATTTCATATATGGCAAAACTTTTCATATCGATTACATGGAGCTTATTATATTTGGCTAAGTAAAAGCAAATCAATCAATTAATACACTTTAGCTTTGAATTCTATTATTTTTCTATTTACATTGCAGCGTTAATAAGCCTACTCTTTTAATTGATTTCAAACTATAAAATTGAGAAGAGGAAATGGAATCATTCTTATCGTGTATGCAACCAAAGGAAATTGATCATATATGCCGCACATGTGGTTTCGTACGAGCGAAACCTGGCCGCTATTCCTTACATGACTCTATACCTTTGAATACGGGCCCGCCAAAAACTTACGGGGAACTTCTAAGTAATTTATTAAAAAATAATGTACGTTTTCCCTCATTGATTGTGTATGTCATTAATTTTCTTTTAATTTTTCCGTTAGCTTGCTATGGAGACAGAAAATATTATGCCTCAACGGTTGTGTATCAAGTGTGCAAATTTATTAAAAAATGTTTACATCTTCATTTTGGAAGCGAGAAAATTACATGAAAAATATTCAAGTCAACAATGGTATTTAGAAAATGTTCTGAAGAATCAAGATTGTTTACAAGAAATACCAATTGATTTCCCAAAAGGATCACAAATAATAGTAGACATGAAGACGGAGCCGCAGCCCTCTACAAATCTGCTAAATTCTGAATACGTAGAAACCGGAGTAAAACTTGAAGAGTCGAATGCAAAGGTCAAAAAAGGAGAGGAAACTAAAAACGCTGATGAACACTCACTAAGCGACGTGATTGTAAAATTTGAATATAACGGGGAGGCGAAAAGGTATTGGTTGAGAAATTTGTTATTTAGCAAACTCTGATTTTTTGAAAATGCATCTACCGGTTGACAGCTCCCGAGTCGTAGGTGATAATATCAAGAAAAATATTGTGAATAATTCCCAACAAAGTGATGATAATCAAGAATGCCACTTAGCAATTGCTGATGGGGAAGATACTAAAGAAATTAACGGTAACAAGGGATCGATCCAGCGACACTTAGCTGTACGTTGCGATTTGTGTGATAAAATTTATATAAATTATAAGGCTTTTGCTACCCACAAAACATATGCCCATATGACTGATGAGAAAAAGTTACGTTGTGCTGTGTGTGGTTTTAAAACAAGTCGAATATCTTCCTTAAAAGTTCACCTGACCACTATACACGGACCCGAATGCGTGGAAAAGTATATTAAACCGAAAAACGATCGCGTAAAAAATTTTGGTTGCGATCTGTGCTCACGCAAGTACTGTCGTAAAGACGATCTACAAAAACACGTCAAGAAAAAACACGTTAATGGTTCGAGAGTAGAAAAACAAAAACTACGCGGAAATGTAGAAAAACGGAAAGATTTTCATTTATGTAACTTTTGCGGGCAATCGTTTACGACGTACAGCAGTTTGCAAATACACTCTAGGAAACATACCGGTGAACGACCCTTTAAATGTGATTTATGTGAAAAGGCATTTATGAGGCAGCAGGATATGAAATTGCATCGTGTCATACATAGCGATGAAAAGCCTCATCAATGTTTTGAATGTGGTAAATCGTTTAAAAGATCCGATAAACTTCGCGACCATATGCGGGTGCATTCGGAACTTCGTCCTCACAAATGTACAGAATGTCAGAAAACATTTAAATATGCATCTGTACTCAGGACTCACATGCATATACATACTGGACAAAGGCCATTTTCATGTAAAACTTGCGGTGAAAGATTCTCGCTGAGAACTTCACTCTACGGACATTGCTTCAAAAGCGGTCATATAAAATAAAGCTCTGTTAGTCCATATATACTTCTTTACGATATATCAAATCTGCGGCCTGGTGAGGCATTAGGTTTAGAAATATCATTTTCTTTTCAGAGGATTTTAGAGGAGCTTATGATGTAGTATCATTTTGTATGTATAAATAATTTGTCGATTTTTTTAAACTTATATAAAAAAAAACACAATTAACTAAAAGAATTATTTGCACTCGAATTTTAACACATAAAACTGTAATTTTTTTTCGGAACGTGTTAGAAAACACAAAGTTGAAGCATGATCGCTCTTACCTAATTATCGCAGTATTTTTTCGGAAAAATCAACCATAGAACAGTCAATTCTTAAGGTTTAAACTTTGACATTAGACGCAAGATTGAAAGCGCAATAGGGAACCCTAACGTTTTGCTTGCTATTACAAACTCAACGTATCACATAAAAAGAAGAAGAGAGATTTATTTACTATACCACTAAAAGATATTAATCGCTTTTAACTTTCGCATAAATAAATACACGCAATCTAAAGGGCAGGAACATGAATTTGGTGTGTGATATTTCCTATTCTGCAAAATTAAAAGATACATGTTGTCGAACATGTATAAAAACGTCATCAAGTTATCAATCCTTAGAACAGGTCATTAATAATGATACGGATCAAGCGAAAACTTACGGTGAATTAGTAAAGGATCTATTGCAAGTGGCAAGTGGAGTAGATGTAAGTGTCAGCTAAGAAAATTGCCGCATTATCTCTAATCAATATTGCTTACATTTGCTTAGCACGTCTCTACTTTAGAAGATCAACTGCCTCAAAAAATTTGCAAAAAATGTGCTAACTTACTGAGGAATGTTTACTTATTTATAGTAGAAGCTCGAAGGCGGCACGAAGAACTTTTACAATACCTTTGCGGTATTAAATCTGAGGATTGCTTACAAGAGGTGTCCATTGATTTGCCTAATCTAACGGAAATGCAAATAAAGTCAGAACCTGAAATAATAGAAACAACGGCATCTTCTTTAGAAGATAAGAGCGAGCAAAATTGCATATCATTGAAACCTGAGCTAAACCATGACAGTGTTCACGAAACAAAAGAACATAGCTTAGTGTACTAAATTTTAAAGAAAGAACTTTAACTATATATTAGTATTATTAATGGGGTTATTTTACAGGGATTGCGGTCCGGAGAACTTGCATAGTGATGCCAGTGACATCTCGTCAGTTGCTGAAGACGATTTAATGGATTTTAATTTATCTCCAAAATCATTGGCAGTACGCTGCGATATCTGTGATAAAGTGTATAAAAATGCGATAGCTTTGACCGCTCATAAAACTTTTAGTCATATGCCTGAAGAAAAAAAAATTCCTTGCGCTTTGTGCAATTTCAAAACTAGTCGTACATCAGCCTTTAAAGTTCATTTAAGGACTATACACGGCCCAGAAACGGTTGACAAATACTTCAAGCCACGTAGAGTATGTAAAGGAAGTTTTTGCTGTACCATGTGTCCTAAACGATATAGTCGAAAAAATGATTTGCAGAGGCATATTAAAAAGACGCATGTTAATGGCGAGAATTCAGTAAGGAAAGCGGCTAAATCTGGCCAGAAATCGAAACAGAAATACCGCCAGTCTTATCTTTGCACGTTTTGTGGCCAATCGTTTGCTGAGAAATACTATTTGAGTATTCATGCTCGTACTCATATTGGTGACAGTCCATTTAAGTGCGAATTCTGCGAAAAGTCCTTTAAACGTTCCGATAGTTTACGATATCATATGGTCACACACAGTGATGAAAAGCCACACACTTGTTCAGAATGTGGCAAATCATTCAAACGCAAAGATAAATTACGCACGCATATGCGCGTTCATTCAGAATTACGCCCTTACAAATGCAGCGAATGCGAAAAGACTTTCAAGTACTCCTCCGTGCTAAAAACTCATATGCATATCCATACCGGTCAGACTCCATTTTCATGTAAAATTTGTGGCGAAAATTTTTCATTGCGAACTTCCTTGAATATACATTGTGCGAAGAACGGGCACTTTGAAATTTAAAAATTATACAAATTTTTCAGTTTTTTTCAATTATTAACATTGTTCAACAGCATCAGAAAATTGGCATCACACTTAGGGGTAAGAAAGACTTTGCCATTTAATGTTACTCCAAAGTACTTTTGAGTGCAGTTTGTTTTTTACATAAATAAATAATTCGTAAATAAATTGAATGCTTTGCTCTTTAATTTATTAACCAATTTAATTAGGAAAGTCAATTTTACACTTCAAAAGGTTTTTAACTTTATCTATTTAAAAAAGTCGTTTAATTAGGGACAACGAAATTTGGACTTTTTAACTGTAAGGGATGGAAGAATTGCTTTGCAACTTCACCATTGCCAACTCTATTGCTTGGTTACAGTTACATTTCCATGTGAGTGAAAGAGTAGAAGAACAAGAGTAATTTTTATTATTATTATTATTATTATTTTTTTAATTTTAGACTAATGAAATGAATTCTTTAGACTAAAAAAAGACATTGAGCACTAGCAACACAGGCTATCGGCTCTGGAGTGACTTTTATAATCATTAAAAGTAAAGAATTAATGTTGAGCTATTTTATTAAGTGAAAAGTGTAGAATTTCTTGTAAGACATGCACATTTTAAAGAAATGAATTCAAGTTTTAATCATTACGTAAATTATTAATCATTACATATAATTCTTTCGAGGTTTTTTGTTTGGGTAATGGAATTCCCTTTATAAAAATTGTAATTTGGTTTTGTTTAATAAGGAAGCTCGCGCAATGTTAAATAAAGTAAAATGAGTTTTCCAAAGGAACGACTTAAATTTCTCTACAATGGGCAGCTGCTTCTGATCGAAACTAGTAAGGAGCTTTTACTTGGTACTTTAAAAAATATGCATCCCACTTACTTTCGGATTGAATTGGATAATGTGTGTGATATTAAAACAAACTTTAATTATGCTAGTGCCCAGGCGTTGGCCTATAATGATATAATTGACGTTAAATTTGTAAGTAATAAATATGATAAAAATGTTAAAGTCGATGGAATAAAAAAGGCGGCTAATCGGAGTAACAGCGATAAGGAATTTGTTAACGCAGGCACGAGTAATCGAGAGAATACTTTTCTGCTCCGTTTAAGTAACGTTGAATTAAGTAAGTTGCAGTCACAAGTGAAAGATTTCGTGTATATTATACAAACGGATAAAAAATACCACAACGCTTTGGCTGACATTACAAATCAATCGATGATAGCGTTGATAATTGAACCCGTAGAATCCTGCAGAAATAATAAAACGTCAGTCATAGCAATTGCGACTGCAACAAATGTTTACATTTTTGATATTCTTTATCTGGGTAAGGTCTTCCCCGACTTCGGTCGCATTTTAGAAACAAAATATCCTCGCAAAATTGTACATAATAGTCATTGCATCGTCGATCATTTACAACATCGTCAAAACGTTAAGTTGTCCGGAATATTTGATACTTTTGTGGCTTACTGTCTAGTAAGTGATGACAAGACACACAGAAGTCTTGAAGAAACAATCCAAGACACATTGAATATGCCGTTTACATATTTCGTGACTGAGGAAACTGAAACAAATCCGTTTAAACCCTATAAGCGGCCTTTAACGAACGCGTGGCTTTCGTCAATTGCCAAGAAAGCTTTACTGCAACTAAAACTTGCCGAATATCTATTACATAAGCAGATGCTGAAAAATTTTTATCTTCATTGTGAACAAATTTCTAATACATATGTGGCTAAATAAAAATGTTAAACTATATATTTATATATTTATATACCATCTTACTACCTCTAACACAAAACACTTTATAATTTATTATTATGCTACTACTTTTATATATGTGTCATTTTAATATCTTCTATCCACATTCACCTTGAAATATGTATCGTTCTAATCTCTACTCTTCCTCTAAGCCAGTCAATCGTCAAGTCCGCTGTGTATGTTTACAACGTATATTCTTAACCCGTTACAAATCCGTTGGATGGAAAGAAATCATAATCTTTTAGAAGACACCGGAAAATAATGCAGCGTTTGTTGCCTGAGCTTTTAGCTACATCAGATTTTTTCTGTTCCACTTACAAGTTCCGAAATAATTTCTGTTGTACTGTTCTACAAAATAAATGATTTTGAATTATTTTCGCAATCCCTAACAATATTTCATTAAAACCCATAAATAAAGAAAGGTCAATCCGTTGGCGTTTACTAAGTAACCCGGTTAATTATTTATATTGTGTTGCCGATAAAGAGACAGATAGATGAAAAGGTTGGTATATGGATAGGTAAATGAATATGAAGTCGAACAGATAGAAGAACAAATGAGCGGAAGTGTAGACGGACGCAAAGAACGTTGGAATAAAAAGTAGGTAGACGAAACATTAAACAGAATGAAAGAATGAAAAGAATTAGAAGTTCGGGTTTATTAAGCTTAATATATATATATATATTTATGTATGCACATATAGATCCTTCATGTATGTTAAAGAAACTTACTCTAAGTTTATTAGTGAACAGTTTTAGACTCAGATGAAACAGACATTTCATTGTGTATGTGCATTTGAAAATATCCAGGCATGACGTCATATAGATTCATCCTAGATAATCTGTGAGGCAAATTGTCAGTTCAGGAGGTAATGAAACCCGGAGTATAAAGGGTGTTGTGTTATATTGAAATATAAAATATAAAATCTTTTCTTAGCTTTAATTTAGTTTCATGCCTAGAAAAATAGGTTAACTTGATAAAAAAAAAATAAAACGAAATAAAAATGGCATTCAACATTATGATGACATACAACAAGTAAGAAAATTAGCTTTAGTCGCGCACGAATCTTTTATACTAATCACCGAAGTAGGTGCGGCCGATTTAATCTATTTTCAGAATAAAACGAGAAATTTATGTTCACTTTATGGTTAACAAGCAAAAAGCGCGAAAAACAAAAGTGTTCGCCGAATGGGATATTGTTTAGCACAACTACTACACATTCGTGTAGACGGGTAGCTGGACTAATGAACGGACGAACGTGCTTAGGTGCGTTCCGAATTTGACAGAGGCTAAAAATCTATATACTTCTTATACATCTCTTCACTTTGCACAGTACTGTACTCGTGTCTGTTCACTGATTTTGACTATTTCCAATACCAAACTAAAAACAAGAAGTTTCAATATTTCTGTTAAATTTGAACTCGATTGCTCCACTTTTGCTGACAAGAGAATGCTTACAACAGGCATTACACAGACGGATAAACAGACAGACGGACTTGCTTAAATCGACTCAGAATTTCATGCTGATCAAGAATGTATGCAGTTTGTGGGGGTCTCTGAAGCTTGCTTGTGGGCGTTGCAAACGTTTTGACAAAATGAATATATCCCTCATCCTTCGATGATGGGAAATATATTCGAAGAATAGGGATAGGAAATATATTCAATAATTTCGATAACAAAATTGTTTTTTATAATTTCTCTCATCAAAATTGAGTGTCAATGTATATATCTTTTTTCGTTAAAATCGGTTGAAATTCTTCTACATTAGTTATTTTTTCACTACAAAAGTTACCTGACGTAGTTGCAATTACCTGCCTGTTTCGGATTTCTCTATACGGATCTAAAGAGCTTTGCAGGCCTCTTTTAAATTTTTCGCTGCGTCCTACCGAAATTTCTTAATTTAACTCACAAAGAACAAAACGTATATAGTCACTTCTCAAAGAAAAAATCCGGCGGTCGGTTTATAGTTGTTGACGCCGATAATTTTTGCAAATAGTAAATATAAAGATTATCGTACTAGCGATGGAAATTCCAAAAAATTGGGAAAAGAGTGCTTTTTATTAAAAAGTTAAAAATATGATTTTTTTTTGGCTACGAGTCAGTTGTTAATGTGCATAGGTTAACTATTAAAGTTGAGGGTTGCTATAACGTTCAGATCATTGTATGATTGGTCGATATGTAAAGGTGTATTTAAGAAAAGAATTGAAGAGAAAACTGACGGAAAAATCGACACTACTTGCATGTTAATCTTAACGTCGTTCCATCTTTATATTCGTCATACATCGAGAAAATGAAGATCAAAACCTTTGCAAGTATCCGACTTGGGCATACCATTGCAACACATCAATGGTTCCTTAAGAATGCTACTCCTCCGATATGCGCTTGTGAACAACAACTCACTATTAAACATACACTTCGTGAACGAAGATTAGTTTTCGGGCCATCTAATCCTATGGACGTCTTGGAAGTACCTTTGAAACTTAACATAAATATAATTTATTTGTTTGCATTAAGTTTTAAGTTTAAGTTAAATAATTTATTTTTATTTAAGCTGCTGAACTAATCATACAAACTACCTAAAAAAAAAAAAAGAATAACCTAAACTACCTAAAAAAAAAAATAAAAGCTAATAGTCTTAGCTGCTAGTGCTTATTGTGCTTTTAGTTCTAAAATGTATTCTTCTATTGATTTATGGTTGTTATAATCTGATTGGCGTGACTTCAATATGGAGGTTCTATCGTTTTTTTTTCCTGTTGCTAGGCACTATTTTCTTCTTTACAGTGATGTGACACACGTAAGAGTTTCCGTGAAGGTATTAGATTAATATATAGTAATTCGATGTGATTACCTAAAATACTAAGTTATTATATACATATATATATATTTATAATTGCCTAAATACTGTGCTGTAAGAGACATTGCAGTCTTATTATTATTAGTACATTAGATTACTGGCGATTTGCTATTTTTACAAAATTGTAAAGAGAAAATGGTTGAAAAAGATTAAGAAAAGAATTGAAGGGTTTTTAAAAGCAGTCTTAAGTGCTTAGTCGCGGAATTTCCTAAAATAAATGCAAAAATGAAAAAAATTCCACTGCAGTAGATATTCTATTTTTGGAAATCCTGTTATGCCGAAGCCTTGTTCTAATAATTCCACATTTTCTATCGGGTTGTTTCGACAACGTACTTTACAAAGTTAAGTGAGGGATGCTTGGCTTATGAAATGAAAATATCGTAAATAATTAGCATAGAATAATGTTTCGAGTCTGCAAAGCATTAGGAAATTCAGTAAAAAATTTTTGATTATGCATTTTGTACAAATTAGCCATCAATAGCGCCTATGACACCGTTAATAAAATATCTTGGATATAAGAGGCTTACTTTTTGCTTTCGACAAGTTCGAATGCGTCAACGGCCTCAAAATCAAATTTCAAACTAGGCCGACCATATCGATACCAAAAATATAGTCTGCTGCTTACAAATAAGTGCTCTCTAAATGTCTTCCAAGCTTCTTTGGCAACCTTTTCCAAATTTTCTCCGAATCTCTTCGTACAACGGAACCCCTGCTGTTTTCTTAAATAATTGAAATTTTATTTTTTTTATTTAATTTCCTATTAGAAGCTAACGAGTTTATTGAAGGGTTTTCATTTGGTTTTTATTTACATTGAACTTTTTTTGGCATTGAAACGATTTTTATGGTTCTCTCGTACATTCACATTTATTGACGGCGGCGTCGAATCTTGCGCTTTCGGTTTCGGTCGGCGATAATGCGACGTTTAGGTTTACTTACATTTGAAGATTTTCTTCGCCCAGTCTGCTTGCGACCTTTGAATTCATTTTCCTGGCTGTGACTTTTCGGGGATGATGATGGTAGTACTGATGTGGATGGAGTTGGAGATGTAGGATTTGAATTCGATTTTGGCTTGATATCTTCAATTGTCTTCTCAATATCTGCATTAAAGTCGTTCTCCGGATTTCCAAGACTACTTTGACAATATAAATATTTGGAATCCATTGCTTCATTATCCTCGCTACGACTGCATACATTCTCCCTTGTGTTCGAAGGGACATAGTAATTTTCATCGATCTGATCGAGGTATCCGAAACGTACGCCTGCATCTAGAGTAAGCTGAAGGGCCGTTAGGAGATTAGTAGAAACATCGCGATGAGTGAAACACATATATTTGAGAATGTCCATGAGGCTTGCCGGACGGCGTTCTAGAAAGTCGATGTCGTGTAATGCTTCTAAAACGGACTTGCCATCAATAAGCGGCATTTTGCAAAACTGCTTAAGTATCACTAACAATTTCAAATTTCACTAAAAATTTTTAATCTTTACAAACAATTTTAGATTCTTTGCCTCTTACACGGTCGAACAGAAAATAAATGATTTCATTACAGCAAATTTTTGACAGGAAAATAATCTATGTGACTAAAAAAAAATTTTTTTTCATTTTTCTCTGTAGCACAGTAGATGTGACAGTGTAAATAATCCTGTTGTTATATTACAAACACTGTCCATTGACGGGCGAACGGTGTAAAGATATATATGTATATATATATATATATATATATATAAATACATGTACATTCTATGGTGTCTATAGTATAAGAAAATTGTCCACGAATACGTTTGTTAAGCTTCCCGACCAAAGGTGTTTTAGGTCGACTAAATATGGGAAAATTTTAGATGATTGAAGGTTGATAACTATCTACTCGCGTCTTTATACTCTCTTGTCTGCAGCCTTGTACGTCTTTTTCGTATCTCTCTTTTCAGACCCATAAGGCAATAACCAAGAACCTAAAGAGAATACAACACTTAAACTTTGTTATTACAAAGTAAAAAACAAGAACGCGCAGAAAGTGAACAACACTAAAATAAAGAAAAAAATAATAGATTTCTTGCGAATGTGCGAGGTATACATTAGTTCGTTTCTAGAAAGTTGATCATTTCCGTGCATACTTCTCGCTTGATAAGCATTTAAAGCCACTTTGAATTTGCCATCTTCGGGGTCACTTTTCAATGCTGTGCAACCAGTAAGGGTATTTAGCGGTTCGTAAGCTTATTGCACAAATTGAATGCAAATGCAAGCGTCAGCCCAGATGTTACATTAGAATAATGGGTGCTTTGCGTCAATTGGATGCACATGCACTAGGCTCTGGCCGCTTCATATATCTTATTCTCTTTTTTCTGATTATCACCGTCTTGCAGGTATAGAAGAAGAATGATTGGTCTTACTAACAAAAAAAAAAAAAAAAAAAAACAAAATGGTCTTAATAAACATAGTATCTTATTTTTTGTTTATAGCCAATATTTTAGCGAATCTTGTTGTTCTTAAATTTCTGCTTACTCATGATCTTCGAAATACTCTGTTAAAAAATAGAATTGTTTTCTAAAGCCCGATTGCCGAACTTCTTCACAGTTATTTTAATATATTATATTGTTACGAAAATCCCAAATTCAGTAAATGTCAGCTAAGTAATTTTCGTAAGAATAAATTTCCTAAAGAAGGAAAAACCAAATGAGCATTCGCAGGCGCCTCATGAAGCTGCAGGCCGATGAAAACGAATAGCGGAAAAGCATACAGGTAAAAGCTAAGTGCATATTCGCAGGCTCGTCATGCAGGTGCAGGCCGATGAAAACGATTACAGGAAAAGCAGGCTGGGATTAGAAATGAAACCATAAAATTAGGTATAGTAAGATGCTAGTAAATTTGTATATAAGTAGAATATTTGCGAAAAGTAGAGTTAGTCTGGCAAGAACGTAGAAGTTGAGAGTACGGCCAAAATAAATTGTAAATAAATATTCCTACTGTTGTGAAAGACAAAGTAGTAAAACAAAAGAACTTTGAAGTGCATTTATCTTGATTAATATATCCACGATCTAGTGATACGGACTGTATCTTGTAAAAAGCGAATTTCATAACAATATATACACTCAAAAGAAATGTCTCCTAACAATCTTATAATGTTCTTGGATATACAGTTTCTTTTATCAAGTACAAACGGAGACATTCGAAGCAGTGTCAAATATAATTAACTTCTCCGGTCTGGAAAAGCACCCGTCTCTCTGTGTGTGTAAAAAAGAGTAATCTACCAGTACATTTGTCGAGCGTTAGAACACAGCAATCATTGAGTGATTTATTGAGACAGATTTAGGGTTCTTATGCAACTATTATTGTAAGCCTATTTTTATTTAGATCGTGAAAATTAAAATAAACACTATATGTTGTATTGGTACAGTTAGTTATTCTATTGGAGATGGCGACATTTTTTCGAACACAGTCTCCAGCAGCGACATTTTTTTCCCCTTATATTACTCATTTCTGTCAGCAGTGATCAGTCAGTCATCTTGATGGATTAATATGCAACGCGAAAAAGAGTATTAATCTTATACTAGAATTATTTTTCGAGTGTGAAAAGAAATTCGAAAATGAATACAAGATGCACACAATTTATGCCATAGCTGAAATAAAACGAAGTGCTCTCGAGAAATGCGGAGAATTCTCGAGGAGACTCTGGTCAATATTGATGAGTTAAAAGAACGAATCGCGAATGTACGTATTGCCGTGCATATTTCACCGGCCGTGGAAAAATATGTTATTGAAAAGATAACAATAATTACACTTCTTTTGGAACATTTTTTAATTCATGCGAAAAAAAAGTTAAAATCAGCCAACGATATCCATATGAGCGACGTTGAAGCGTAATACAATCCATTAATTGCTTCAGAAAGTACTGCATCTTTTCTTTCTGTTTCTGTAATTAGTCACCTCGAAATCTAATTTTAGAAGTTTCCGCATCATTTTCGTCGCTAATGAAGAAGTATAAATAAACCAACTATAAATATTAGGTGCTTCGATGTATTTTGACCATTTTTTCACATGAAAAGGCATTTATCGACATAAATTGATACAATATATGCTAATCAAAATATTTTCCATGATTTTCAACAACTTTTTCCCGTCTTTCTGGCAACAATATTGGTTTGGCGGCGATTCAGTAATTAAACCATTTTCATACTTCTTCAGAATGTCGAAACCGCATGCCTGCATAGATCTGAAGACACTATATCTGGTGAGTACGTTGAGTGCGGCAGGACATCCCATTCGAGTTGCCGCAGTATTGGCTTGACAACTTTCGCCACGTGCGGCCGAACGTTGTCATACAAGATGGTGACTTACCGCCCGTTAGCCGCTATTGTCGTTCTTTTTGCAACAATGCATCGTTCAGTTTCTTCAATTGACGTCGGTAGGCACGACATCTTGCTCATCCCATCACATGCAAAAAAAAAACTTCTTGGACATGAGTATTCCGCTTCGGTTTCGATGTGGATGGCTCCTTGGGTTAACCTATGACTTTTCGCGCTTGGTATTGTTGTAATAGATCCACATTTTATCGCCAGTCGCAATGTGCTAGTTTTAAGAAGCAGTAATAGAAATAAAAAAGCAAGAGATGGCAAACATCATGAACTAAATATATAATAGTTTTCACGCCGATGAAGTATAAGTGTGTGTGCGCATACGAATGTAACCATAGGCAATGACTTAACGGATCAACAGATATATAGGTGCATTCTAACGGACAAAAAAACAATACTAATAGACTATGGGACTGTTAGATGAAATACGCCGTAAGTTATTTATCATTTTTAGCGGTAATAATTCCTGTTATAAAGCCTATATAGCAAGCTGAATGGGTTAAACAGTAGATTATTCGTAATGAGAGAACCTTAGAGGAATATAGCATCGTAAAGACCGACACGTAACATTGAGGTTGACTACGTTTAATAGATAAGAAGACGCAACCCAGCACTGAATCAATTTAACCATAAAAACTATCCTTATCTTTACGATCTCCTCACCAGTGACAGTAACCGTATCAGGTTAAGTTTGTTTTCATATGGCGGAAGATTTCTAGCGGAATACCAAATATCTCTGAATAGACTCCTGCCGTTGACAATAAAGTGCTCACACAACGACAGAATATTCCAAGTATTTAAAGTGAGTCGATATAGTTTTCGATATCATGACAATCCAAGTCCCAAAACATTGAACTTTGGGTATTTTTAAGATCGTGATTATTTGTTTTCCTGAGTAAATATTTTCTGATACTCGACAGAAGTGCTTTAGAAGGCCCCAGTCTAATAGGCGGACTTCTCTTTCTGCGGAACAAATATTCTTTCACCGAGGAGCCCTCAGGTTAGACATACAAATTCAACAACCGATTAAACAATGAAGACGCCGTTAAAATATTAAAGGACGATCAGGGTTAAACTTAAAAATTCGAACTTCCTTCATCTAAGCATTTGATATCATTTTCTTCCGGATGTATTTCAATATCACATCCGCTGTTGTCTTCGACGCAAAACGTGAAATGAATAGAGCTTTATCGTCGCCTGCCTGGTCAGATCTACTAGTACGAGAAACATGACCGCCCAGCGCAAGCTGACTCATCGACCGCTGATCGGCTACAATTACTTAAAGCCATCAATGCTAGTGGAAGAACTGGCCTCTGCCGGAAGCATCGTCACAACCCCTTCGGTGCTTTCCTTTAATACACTTCTCTCACAGAGAAATGTAGTTTTTAGATTTTCTGAACGCCTCCGATCGCGTAAGGAGCCCTTTACGCGACACATGTCGGACTTGTTGGTTGTTAGATTATTATTGTATATACATTATTTTAATAATATTGCACAAGTGACTTCGGGTATGAGCCGGAGTCGCGGCACTTTCTACCGCATAGAAATGTTGCTAATGGAACAAGCGAAACGATATTTTGTGAGGCGCATTGCAAAGCTCGATCGATTGTAGAATAGCCAATCGATAATTTGAAAGGAAGGCGAAACAAATTTTAGATAATGGAAAGAGGGGCTGGGCTGTTATTGTTCTGAGAAAATTGCGATCGCGGGCGCTGCTTTACATAGCATTTGTGTGATATTTAAAGAAAGTTCTCAACAGGAAATTTATGTCGATTTTACTTTGATAATAAGTTTAAAAAGATTGGCGACAAATTTAGAAACCATATAAAAGAAAAAAGTTTAATAAATTGTTTATACCACCGTTAATTGTTGGAATTGCCAAGTTCTTTTCGCCTAATAGTTGACTTGATTTTTATAACTTGTACATCGATGTTATGTTCCTCTTTGTCCATTTGTGATTTTTTTTCCGTATTCAGTTCATTTTTCAAGTCATTTTTCTAATTTTTCCAACGACAGTTTCAAATTTTATGGCAACAGTAGGTAAAAGCCTCGAAAATAATTACGGGATTTTAAACATTTTAGTACCCCCGTTATAATTCTTTGTATGCTCACTAATTTTGTCATATATGTGGTTTCATAGCTGTAAGTTAGTTTACATCTCTTTTAAATATCGATAGCTGTTTTGCTTTCGAGCTAAGTATTCATACTTAATCAATCGAAAATGTAAATTCGATTTCGGATTTACTCAATAACTAGTACTGCAAATCGACCTCTGTTTGCAAGACCGAGCACGCTTTAGTATACATATATGTATGCGTATATATAAACCAAAGAGCACATCTTAAATGTAACTTTGCTTCGTTTCATTATTTATGTCAATTCAAACTGAAAATTAATAATCTTACTTACTCCAGTTGCCTCTCTTATAGGTTGTGTCTCCAATCATTAATTTGGGTCATATTTTTAATTACTCTTTAATTCTGCGAAAATTAACATAACGATAATTGTCGCACTCGTCAATTGTTGGTTGTGCCTATATTTTACATTAGAAGGGATATTATAATGTCTTCAATCTTTACATTAGGGTATGTTTTTAATTATCCTTGGATTCTATTATTATGTTAATTCTCGCTAGGGTCTTCAATTACGCTCGTTCATGTTGTTATAAATTATTTAAGATGGCAACGATAAAATTTCCTTCCAGGGACTAATGGCATCTCGATAAAAGTGTATTGAATTGCTTTTTTTTCTGCTTTAATAAAATTTATTACAATATATATATGTATGTACAGAGAAAATGTGGTTAATAATCCTTAGGCCTTATCAGCAATTTAATTGATTTTAAGGAGTAGTTGCCATCAACAAACGTCCTCCAATATATTCCGCTGCCAAGAAATGCTGCTTTTTCCGTACGATAATAAATTCCATTTGGATTTCTATCAAAACAAATATGTTTTTCAATATGAAACCATTTTCGAAATCTGGAAACAATATTAGTAACAATTACTTACGTTCTTAAGCAATTCTTATACCACCAACCGCCCTTATAATCCCTAACACATTTTTTGGTGCCGTCGTTGTCCTTGGTGTGAAAGCCAGCATTTTCATGATAACTTAACGAATCGCCCGCATCGCCTTTATACGAACCCAATTTCAGTTTGTAACGTTGCGATTCGGGACCTACTTCGAATGCATCATAGCGTGCATATTTGGTATTGCCATGATAATCTTCTAGTATAACCAATAGCTCTTGACGCCCCTGAGTTGTGGTGAGGGCATGCAATTTATCCAAACCAATCCAATATTCACCGTTTGCACTACCGAAACCGGATTTATAGTCAACCCAATTACGCTGAAAATTTACGGAACCATCCTGACGTTTCTGTATTATTGTCCATCCATTTCCTTCCTTATTGTCGTCGCAAGCAACCACAAATTCCTCGGATGAATATCGAGGAACCTTTATGCGGCAAGTACCATCCTCACAGTAATCCTCGCTATACTCGGCACAGCTTTTCGGATAACTGCAAATTATATTGAGAAAACCAAAAAAAAAGTAAACAAGAGGGAATGTTATATTTGCCTTAGGGTGAATCTTTCATATCCATCTTCTCAAATTGAGGCATTACGATCGGTCAGTAGTCGTGAAAGAAAAGAACGTCTCGTCTTGTCACCGTTTTATAGTATTTCGAGGGAAAGGTTAAAACATATTAGTTTTATTATAAAACAGGATTGTTAAGTCCCGTAAAACTCACAACCAAAAAATACCTCGTGGCGAGTGATGTCCTCGTAATATTATCCAGAATACAGTAATGATATATAGGCTTTTTACAAGCTCTCTAAAATTGTTTTTTCTTAGAATCAAAATCTCTGATAAGCTACAGCCTCTAGGGGCTAGGCTACTATTGTAAATATTTCAACTGAGCTTTAACTCAATTCCCGCAATGTAAGTAAAAGTTTTTTGTACATCACGCCTTTGTTTTCTGAAGCCTTAAGTAGTTCTTATAAATGTTTTAAATCGCTTCCTACCGTGAATCACGTCAATATTATAGTTTAGTTCCGACATTTGTCCAAGTTTTGGACTAGCAAGTGCTATAATGCTTAAGTTATAATTTCTCATATTGTAGATGTGCCTTTGGGCTAATCTTCGGAATTGATATATACCCATCAACTAAGACTATATATATATATCAATTTGCCATTTTCTATCGAAATATTTGCAATCGTAAGCAATCCAATGGCAGACGACGATCGAACTGGTGAACGGACAGAGTTATGTCGATTCGGAAATCTTACAATGAGATCTCCGATATGGATTTTACATAAGGAAATAGTTTATGAGTATAGATTTAAAAACAACCTTATCGAAATATTTAAAAAAATTACCCGAAAGGCTTGGGCCCACCAATTCTATAATGTGGCGAAAGTGATTTGGGCCCAACAGCAATTTCGTCAATTTTCGAGGAGATTTCTCCTAGGTTGCCCCGAATTTCTTTAAAGAAATCGTCAGATTTTTTGTTTCCTTCTCCTGATTGCTGTAAAATGGTTTCCAATACCTCGTTTGAATATTTTACTTCCTCTTCGACTTTTCCTGTTGTGGCCAATTGATGTTCTAGTGTCGACTGCGTTAACTCTAACTGCGATTGGATCTTTCCGTTGCTGAGTATCACCGTATCAATCCATGTTTTTAAGTCCACGTCCTATGAGACAAAAGAATTGATTGAAATTTTAGTCATCCTATAGGATTTCGTGAATTTGGTTTCACCGTATCATTTTCACTGTCAATTTCCGCGTTTGCTGCGTCACATAGAAGCCCTGCGACAAGAATTACACCTACGTATGTAGAAAACTGCATTATCAGCGGTTATGATTATAAAAGACTGACTGAATATTGATAGAAAAATTAACCTATTTATACGTTCAAAGTTAACATAACTATTTTTTTAAACTGTCTCCAAACTATTTACAATCTTTAATTAGCAGACAAACAGTGTAACAGATGTTCTTCTTTACGTCTTTGGATATTAAGCAAATACAGGAATATCTTTGGTTGAAACAAGTAGCAAAAAATTAGTTGTTGTTTGCAAAGATCCAATATTTGCTTTTAAAGAAACGCTTTCCATAACTTCTACTTTCTATTCATTGTTACGTCATTAACGTCATAAGCCAACTAAGGAGTATGAAATTTTAAGATTTATAGAAAATTTAGTTATCGACCTTTTAGCCTTTTCATTTATAGACTACTATTGGTCTACTTAACTTCTCTTGTCATGTTTTTTTTAATATCCAGCAAAGAAGAAGTACGTTAGATATCATCAAATGCTAGCAAGCTTTAAGAATGGGTATCAGCAAAAGTGTAAAGCGTATGTTTTCGTCGCAGTGAATACCATATGAATTTAGCTACATTGATCCGACACTAGCAATAAGGCCTTGCGAGCTTGCTCTTAAGCCTTTCTTGTTCACAAGATTGATTTCTTAACCAATATGTACATTAGCACGTTGTCGAATTACGACTTCAAAACTATTTTTAGCTTAGTTCAATTTATCGAGATCAAATTCAAGAGTCAGCTTATTCGGCTTTGGGGAAGAACTTAAGATAGACCCAAATTTCATTATTCCGATCGATTTCGAATCATTTTCAAGAGATTTATTTTGAAAAGCCGTTATATAAACAATCGTGTCCACTGAAACATTTTTATTCGCTTTTTACCTGAAAGTGGATCATGAAAAGTTCCATTTCTGATACGACCGTACATCACGATATTTACAATGGACTAACAGTCGTTCTTTTTGGAAATATCTCGCCTTCGAGCTGCTTTTCCGCTATGCAGCAAATGCGTACACCACGTAAGATAGCGGACCAATGAGTCGCGAGTTGTAACAGCTGCGTCTTTCCAAAAAAGACAATTCGGTTTCTTCCAAAAGTATATGTAACACCCAAAAGGAAGTTTCAGAGACCGTATAAGGTGTATATATTCTTCATCATCGTGAAATTCTGAGTTAATATAGCCATGTCCGTCCGTTTGTGTATCTGTTTTTTTGTTGGCACCAACAACTGGGTCGCAACTTCGTTTTTTTAACAAAAATTTTTGGATTTTTGCTTGTTCCTCGGAAATTACTAAAATCAGAAGACTGAAACTTTCCACATTTCTACATCTTTAGGAGACACTTTACTCTCTAGAACCAATAACGGAGCCAATCGGCCATGTCCAACACAAAGTTATAAGTAATTAAATTTAATTTTTTTCACTTCTTTGAGGTTTAGTGCTTATTTATCAGAAGACAGAATATTTCAAACTATTTTGTACACTCCTCAAATGAAGATATATTATCTGTCTAAAAATGGGTTAATTTTGAAATGGATATTGTAGACAACGCGATTAATTTTTTCTTAATAATACCAGCGATTAGGATATCAAAACGAAGAATTTGGAGAGCAGAATGCGAAAAGCATAGTAATGGGTATAAGAGATTTGGCCCCAGTCGAATATAACTTTCTTACCTATTGCTTTTGTTTTCTTTTCTTATTCTTATGATCACGTTTTTTATTATTATAATTTTGAGTAAAAATATTCCTTGTTATGAGTTGAAATGTTTCGTTAGCAACTCTTTTGTTAATAAATTCTTTTATAGTAAATTTGGTGGTATGCTTCTTTGTAAGCCGCTTGTATTGGTCGCTTGATTGCATCGGTTTTGATGACAACAGCAGGATTAATGACCAATTGCTTATAAATTTTGACATTTGGCATTGAATTGTTTATAAATGTGATGCGACGCCTAGGTAGGAGACAATGTTCACGTGGATTTACCTAAGGTTTGCAAAAACACTTCTTCGTGCGATTTAGAAACTCCTTATAACCGTTAGTAGCAGAAGGGAGGTACAAATGTCTTCTTTTGCAGGAGCTGCGATATTTCATAATATTAATGGCGGAATATTTGTGTCTAATTGTGTAAAAGAATATATAACCAATCAACTCTGTATAACATAAAAAAAAAAAAGGGGAAAAAAAAATCTCTTTTTGTATGCGTGCTTTTGAAACAAACAAAAAAAAAAATAAAAAAATATTTATATACATATTGAATTCTACGATTGTAAAACGATATAAAAATAAAGAAAAAAACGTTTGAGCAGAACAATGCTTTATAATAAAAAGGAACAGCCAAGCATTTATATAAAAAAAAAAAAGAAAGGAAAAGTAAATAACCAATACAGCAACTTGACAAAGTAAACGCAATTGGAGTAAAGAAAAGAAAACTACACGGATTAAGAAATTTGTTCGGAAGAGAAATTAATTAGATCCCAGGTTATTATTGCAAACAGCGTTTACCCGCGTGCACCTACGCACGCAGCAGGGGAAATTAAAGTTTGTATTGGAGTGGAAAAGGCTTAATAGAAAGAGGAGCAGGGATTGCCGATGTAGCAGCTACCGCGGCCGACACTGCACCGACGCCGATGCTTGTATTGTAAGTCATTTTTAGTCTATTTAATTTTTTTGTCCCCGATGAGTGGCTAAGCGCGAGCTGCCACCGCTGTGGCTGAGACGAAGGGGTGTGCATATGATGGCTATGTAGGGCCGACGCTAGACGACGACCGACTGACATACAGTGGACAGACAGACAGCAGACAACCGACGGGACTTTTCTTTTTATTTTATTTTTATTTCTTTGTCAGAAAAAGACAAATACTCAGCCGGCAATGAAAGTAACGAGTCTCATGACAATATCCACTAATCTCGCTATCCGGTAACATTCGAACGCTGCTTTCATTGTCATTTGCAGACTTTCTACGAATCCGTTAAGCATTAGACGATATTTCGGTCTATAAATGTGTTTTGTGCGGTTTCTAAAAGCAGATGATTTAATTTACCTCCCTAAAACGACTAATCTAATTAGAATGTGGAAGCTATAGCTTTTTGTTGGATACGCTTCCATCCAAGAGACAATAGAGAAAATAACGAAAGCCTCTGACGGGTAATAATAGTTCTACATCTATATTTACATGTTCAATTCACGGATCCGGGATTTCGTGTCTTATTATTAGTGAACAATTATGCTGTTGAATCTTAACCTTCTGACATGCTATTCAATGTCGTGATCATTTTCGACAATTGCTTTTCATGCTAGGCTAAGTAAATTTTTCCTCAACTAACATTGCAGTTTTCCTAGGTCCGCTGCGCAAATGTTGTATATGAAGTTAAATGCCAATGTACGAAACGATTCCGTAAGACCCAGCCGCGTTTTAGTGATGCTGATGTAAGCGATATGTTGCAAAACAATCGATTTATTGTATGTTGGTGGCGGTAATACGAGCTTTTTAATTCAGGAGATGAAGGTCGAATTAAAATGGAGCTACCTCGTCGCTTTCTTGGCTTTGACCTAACGTAAGCTAATCGATTCCGTTATCGAAAGGCCTCACAATGAAATATGTAAGTGGAGTAAAAACATCTGACCGTTTTATAGTGACCATAGCATTCATAATAAATCTTGTAGGGAATACTTTTAGCATCGACAAATTGCTGTCATTGTTAGGAAATAACGTGTATCCATCAGTATATGAAATAAAGTATCTCATGGTAAGATTGTTATCTATGAAGACTCTTCATTTATAATTCGATAGCCAAATTCTGAACTGTCAAGAGGGCGATGGTGAGTTTTCAGATTGAGCTACTGACCGGAGAAATTAAATAACAGAGATGACACATTTGAAGGGTGAAGAACGGCTTGCTCACGTATATTCTTTGGAAGCAGATTGGTTTGGACGACGATGTTTGTTTTGTAAAGCAAAACAACTGGGATGGTGAAGTAACTTTGCCGGAAATGAGTGCCACGAAGCAAGCAGAAGAGGAATTGTAGATGTACGTTTGGGCACATATTTAGAAAAAAAAATACGTTGCGACAAATATTTGATCTTAACGGCTAAGTGAGATTTTACTATAGGCAGTCTGTCTGAAATCTACAAAATGCCAAGGTCTTTTGGTTAGGTGTTCGGCAACTAATAAACATTTTTAAAATAAAATTATTGCGGTAACAAAAGGTTGATTTTTCACAGACTATGGGTGCAGTGAACGTAGACCACACCTGGGTTTTGTGGCATAAAAATTTGAAATCTTTGACAAGACAGCGGCCGGACTTCGACTGTACTAATTGGAAAACCAAGTCAAATTGCTTAAATTAGGTTTAGGGATGAGCAGAGTTGTATTTATTTATTTAATCGTTGTAGTTATAATAAAATGCTTTGGATCAGTTTGCTAATACGCCCGTAATTAACGATAAAATTTTAATTCCAACTTGTTTACATATGAAATATAATGTATATATTGAATGAATAGGAAATCGAAAATAATTTGGAATTAAAATTTAGTCGTCTATTGCGGCGGTGTTAATTAACCGATTGAGATCAATTTTGGAGTGAATATAGTGTACCAAAATGTAATTTTTTTCAATACCATTATTTAAAGTATTTAAAATCTTGGCTAGTTTTAAATTTCAAATGCATCTAAGCATGTCCGTCTGCTCGTTTGTCCATCTGCCTAACTATCTCTCTCATATGTAGCAAACATTTTCAAAGAACTCACCTGTGTAACAAGAATGGTGAATATTTTTCCGTGTTTTTTGCTTGTTACTCATAAAGCGCAACATATAAGCCATTTAAATTGGCACAACGACGATGGGTATAAAAGATTCTGCCACGATCGCATAAAATTTTTTTATTTGTTTTTTTTCCGTACATTTACACTTATATGTATGGCATGGCGCATATTCACGGCGGCGTATTACAAATAATTTGGCTTTGTTTCATAACTGATATTAATTTACTTTGAAAATTTGTACACCCTACATTCGTCATAAAACCTTTCACTCATTACTTGTACAATATACGCAACTTTAATATTAAGAGGGATATTAACATTTAGATAATCATTGATTGGATTTTGTGTTTAGTTCTTCGTCGACTCTATTGTCATATTAATAGTCATAGCAATCTCCCATCAGGATTCTGTCATAAAATGGTTAACACTGCACCGATATATTCCTTTCCATTTACTGGGAATATTTAATGACATATCGATAAATTCGTCTTCAATTGCTTTTTGCTTTTGCTTTATTAAAACGTACTATACATATATGAAAAAGGAAAAGTTGGTTAATTATTACTTGGGGTGTACTTAGGTCTTATCATCATTTTAATTGATTTTAAGGAATACTTGCGATCGACAAATGATCGCCAATATATTCCTGTACCAAGCGATGCTGCTACTTCAGAGGGATAATAAATTCCATTTGGATTGCTGGAGCAAAAAAAAATATGTTGTCAATGTGAAGCAATTATCTAATTTTGAATATAATGACAAAACTTATAACAATTACTTACGCTCTTAAGCAATTTTTATACCACCAGCCTCCCTTGTGATACTTAACACACCTTCTGGTGGCATCGTTATCCTTGGTATGAAAACCAGCATTTTCATGATAACGTAGCGAGTCGCCCGCATCGCCTTCATACGAACCCAATTTCAATTTGTAACGTTGTGATTCGGAACCTACTTCGAATGCATCGTAAGTTGCGGTCCTGATATTGCCATTATAATCTTCTAATACAACCAATAGTTCGTGATGGTCTTGATTGGTGGTGAGATCGTGTAATTTATCCAAACCAATCCAGAATTCACCATTTGCACTACCGAAACCTGATTTATAGTCAATCCAATTACGCTGAAAATCCACGGAACCATCTTCACGCCTTTGTATTATAGTCCAACGTTCTCCATTCGCACTATTTTCACACGGAATCAAAAATTCCTCAGATGAATTTTGAACCTTTGTGCGACAAGTTTCATTGTCGCAATACTCGGGGTTGTAATCAGCACAGCTTTCCGGATAACTGTAACTTATGTTAAAAAACCCAAAAAAAAAAAAAATGAGAAGGAGATAAAAAGGATACTTATATTTGCCTTAGGACAAATCGTTAATTATAATTTTCCCTCTTTGCGGGCATGTTGGTAGGCGGAGTTCCTCTTTTAAATGTTTCAACTGAACTTTATACCGATACTTGCTATGAACTGGAAGTCAACTTTTTGGTGTAGTAAGGTCTAGGTAAGGTGTACGTCTTTTTGGACAAATCAATTTTTTTCTCCTTTGAACTCTTAAGAAATTCTTATAAGAATTTGAAATCACTTTTGTTTTCGAAGTTATAATTTTTCCTATTGTGAACGTGATTTTGTCTCACCAATCAAGTCTACCGGGCACAGTTTTCTATCCAAATATCTGTCATTGTAAACAATCCAACGGCAGACGACGATCGGACCGGCACACAGACAGAGTTAAGTTGATTCAAAAATGCCACGCTCACACATATATATATTTTAGAAGGTCTATGTGTGTTTTACCTACGACGTCCACATAGGGAGAAATTTTGCGACAGAGGCTGTACATGTAAAAACAAATTTATTGAAATATTCACAACTATTACCTGAAAGGCTTAAATTTATCAATTCCGATCGTTGGCTGAGCAATTTCATTAATTTTTACGAATATATCCTGTAAGCGCTCTCGAAGTTCCCTAATGAGATCGAGGGTTTTATTACTTGCTTCTTCTGATTGTTGCTGTTTATTATTTGTGTCATCTACTTTCACTTCTATCCTGGTGACTTGATCTTCTAATTTTGTGGAGACGTCCTGCAAGCTGCTCCAAAGTTCTTCATTGAGAGCGACAGATTCGTGGTTTGCTTCTTGCAATTGCTGCCAGGCATAGTCCAATTTGATATTGGTGTCATTTAGTTGCACTTCTATACCGGCGACTTGATCTTGCAATTTGGCGGAGGTATTCTGCAAACTGCCCTGAAGGTCATCAGTGCGATTGAGAGATTTGTTGTTTGCTTCTTGTAATTGCTGCCATATATTGTCCAATTTCTGATCTAGTTTATTTGCTTCCAGCTCCACTTTTTCTATTGGGACCAACTGTTCCAGTTTTGATTGCGTTGAATTTAACTGCTCTTCGATCTTTGAGTTGCTGAGCTTCAACACATCGATCTCTTTTTTAATGTCCTCGTTCTACGAGATAAAAAAAATGGATTGAGAATTTCTTCGCCATAAAGGATTTCGTCAATTTAGTGTCACCGTAACATCTTGAGCTTGTGTGCCATATGAACGCTCCACAATAAGAATTATAGCGATGTACACGGACAAATGCATTATCAGCGATGAGATTAAAAAAGACTGAGGGTTTGATAGGCAAATTAACCTATTTATACGTTCAAAGTGAACCTTTGTTTTTTTTACTTATGTGAAAACTATTTACAAACTTTAATTAATAGACAAATAGTTCAACAGATGTTTTTCTTTACATCTTAAGATAATAAATTACAATAACAATTTACTACTTGAAAGCAATTAGCCATTTAATATTTATATTTAAAAGTTAAATAAGGGATATAATAATGTTTAAAGTCATATTTTGGAAATATCCTGTAGCAGTGTCTGTAATTAATCCTTTGAGCCTTTTGATTTTTGAATCAAAGAAGCTGTTGCCATCTGAATATTGGTTAAAGTACGCAGGCGGTCTCTATTATCCAAATTGCTCTCTCGTTTAAGGAATGACTAAACAAATCAGTTAGATGGCAGGACTGCAATATTAATCCACAAGAGTTTAACACTCTATAAAATTTCAATAATTAAAACCGATGTAATTGAAACATGGATCTGATCATTCGTAATGCAAATGGAAATGCGGTTTATTACTGTTTACTTTCCTCATGGGTCTTCTGTTGAGCTCCTTTTTTGGCTCCATTAACAGCTCAGGAAACTTTAGCAAATCTGTAGCCTCCATTAACACGGTATCATTTCTAAATATGGTGTAAGGGTATTTTCATTCAGAATCATATAATCGGTATCATTAACGGGACTGTTGTTATTATTCACTGTACGTAGGGTTTAGTAATGATTTCAAAATCGATGTCTTCTTTATTGTTTTACACAGTCGTTCAACGGGTAAGCGTTCGGCTGCGTAAGATACACTCTCGCGCTAACCCGTGATAGTAGTTTCAAATTCGAAGAGAAAGTTATTGCCTGGAATAAACACTTGCGTACAAAGGCGTAGTGAGTGTAATTAATAGTAGAAGTATTGTGCTTTTTCAATTTCCTAAGCAGCTTGTTTTTTTTTTTTTAGTTTTTAACATTATTAGTTGTGAATTAAATAGGGCACGAAGTGTAAAGCGGAAAAAGCAATGGGTGTGACTTGTCCTAAACAATGGGTTGGCTAAGAACGTTTTCAGAAGAGGACTGCTAAGTTCAACTCAGTGCAACTCTGATTGATGTCAACGCTGTGCACCAGTATATCATATGCTAGATGAAGCGGGATTTCTACGGCTAGACGATTTCTATCCTCAGAACTGGCAGATGTGCCGAGGGACTGTGCAGATCATTTTAGAGCCAAAAAAAGCATAGTATAGTATATAATAATTTCTCTACGAGCCTTTTTGCCTTTACTCTCCAAGTTTTTTGCTCATTGCTTGTAATATACACTAGATATCCTATATCAATCATGTCTATCCCATGGTATAAAGTATGGAAGTTCTCATCGTACGTGAAATATGCCAGATATACGATATCAGCCATGTCCATCCCATGTTATAAAGTATGAAAATTTAATTTTTTCCATTCTTTCCAGTCTTTTTTAAAATAATGTGATTGGCACAAAAGATTTGGTCACAGGCTGTCAATATAATTTTGTGATTTGTTTTGCTCTTATATAATTCGAAAAACAAAAATTAATTTCTCAGCTGTATTGTTTTACAGTTGTACCTAGCTTGCTTCGAAAAAAAGAATAAATAGGAACCATAAACCATTTCCGTCCAAACCATCCAAGTGCTTCCACGGTCCTTCTTCCTGACTGAGAGGCGTTGACACTCATCATGGGGTGGTTTTTTAGGGTCCTGTTAGAAAGTTTCCCGTCGAAAAGTTTCCCTATCTTATTTTTTCCCGCAGTCATTTCGCTTATTTGATTATACCTATACCTATACAGTACGATGGGGCTACACTCCTTTTGTTTTTTTCCAAAATATGCGTAACACCCAAAAGAAGGTTTTAGAGACCCTATAAAGTATATATATTTTTTATCACCATAAAATTCTGAATTGATTTAACCCTGTCCGTCCGTTTGTGTGTCTGTGTGGCGTGTGCTGTTGGCACTCTCTTGGTCAGAAAAATGAAGATATCGACTTCACATTCGGCAAAAATGTTGGAAATCTTTGCACGTACGCTGGTAATGAAAATGAATGAAATTGGTCAGAGCAGAAGCGCGCAGTGGAGCGTAAACTGAACCCAACTCATTTTTTTTTAACAAAAATTTGTGGATTTTTGCGCGATAACGGTGAAATTTTCCTCCTTTATTTAAGAGACTCTTTACTCTCTAGATTGAAAAATGAAACCAATCGACTGTGTCCACGCAACGTAACGAGTAATTAAAATTAATTTTTTTCACTGTTTTGAGGTTTAATACTTATTTATCATAAAGCAAACAAGACAAAATGTTTAAAACTATTTTGTACACTCCTCAAATGAAGATATATTATTTGTCTAAAAATGGGTTAATAGTGAAATGAATATTATGGACACCGTGATTAGGTTTTTTTTAATAGTACCAGTGATATGGGTATCAAATAAAAGAGTTTGGAGAGTGGAATGCGAAAAGCGTAGTAGTGGATATGCGAGATTCGCCCCAGCCGAATATAACTTTCTTACTTGTTTTTATGTTCCACCGAGTTGGCTGCAAATTCAATAGAAAAATACACTAATACAAAGGTATTTTTCAAAATAAGGGGCAGTAAAATGTCGGGAACTCAATATGAAATAAACGATCAAACGAAAGCAAACCGTACTCTGCATCTATTGGCTAGTTGTGTCAACTGGTCTTCCAATTCCCATTGTATTGCTTCTATTTGCGAGTCTATGTTTTCGTTGCTTCCTATCGGTATAATGCATCAATTGCGCTATGTTCGTGTCCTATAAGATAATAAAATAAAATTTAATCGGCATATAGAACTTGGCGGAGTTGTTGTCACCGTAACATTTTTACTATCAGTATTCTGTTTTTGCGCCATGTAGACGCCCCGTGCAATGAATTACAATCATATATATGGAAGAATGCATTATCAGCAGTTACCAATAACTGCTAGACTGATGATTTGATAGAAAAATTAACCTATCTATATGCTAATCTTCGACTAACAAATTTTAATTAACAGACAAATAGCCCAACAGATGTTCTAATCTACATCTTTATGCATCGAATAGCAATTGCAATATTTTTTGTAGACACAAGTAGTAGAAAATTAATTATTGTTTACAAAAATCTAATAGATTCCTGTAAACAAAAGCTTGCCATGTTTTCTACTTTTTATTCATTGACGTGATAAGCGCGATAAATAAAGCACAAGAGATTTTAAGATTTGTAAATAAACTGAATAGCTACTTTAGCCTTTTTTGCAATATATGCTGGAAAAAGTAAACTGAAGTACATCACATCGGACAATAGTTTCCAGAAGTAAATAAGAAGAAAAACTCGCACTTGTCAACATAGTTACTTGAGAAGGAAATTTGATATGAACTACTGTAGCGAAGAAGAAGGACGATTACGTCACTACCTTCGAATCATGGAAAACGTATAAATATATATAAACAGTGATATTTATATATCACTTTTCTGTAACAAGGTCTGAAAGTCCTCACTGTCTGCTTGACTATCGATGTGGATTGGATCTATTATTTTTACGGCTCCTCTGAAGAGCATCGAAGGTTGTAGAGATGGACGCACGTATTATTGCTCAGCTGCTAGTTCAGCAGATATGGGGGAAGTGGGCTATAATTTTAGTGTCACGGACACTTCACAGACAGTTACAACTAAAAGAAATGCACGTGTTTTACCCATATAAGAATGAACGGACGGACAAAAGATTAGTTACCAATAAGTTTTATCCTAAACCCTGGGCCATTCTGTACCTTAACCTACCTATGGTCTCCTTTGACACATGTTTCGCAATGACAGACTCCGATTTATATATCCTACTTTTTGCAACTTTAAAGGGGAAGAGCATTGAAAGCAACATTAAGTTCTTACTGCAGCAACAAGTCCATTTGGAATTCGGAATTCACACGGAATTAATTTGGAACAGTGTTGCGAAATGTACAAATGCTGCGCGGGCTTTACGGAAGCTACGTTTTACACTTTCCATGGCATAAAATTGAAAATTACACCCCGCATTTATTTTTCTGTCCATCTGTGTATACATCACTTTGTATTGAATTGAAATTTTCGAAGACCACAATGTTTGGCTCAATTTAAATTTCTAGCTAAGTGTATAGATTTTGGAAGAAACTAGAATTGTAGAAATAATTCCATCTATCTTAGGTCGAAATTCGCTATACGTGCGTATAAATTAAGGGGTTGCAGAAATGTTGGCCATTTTTCCACTTGAAAAAGGGATTTGTTGAGAAAAATCGGGGTAGTATATATTAACCAAGATTTTTTCAACATTTACATTTTTGGTAACATGGCGATATCATGTCGAAAGAGCTTATATTGGTTTGACAGCGATCCACCCACCAATCCATTTTCGCACTTCTTTAAATTTGCGGGCCCACGCACTAGCTAAGCCATCCCGCATCGATCTCAACAAATGGTAATCAGAAGGTGCCATATGTGGTGAGAGCGATGAGGATGGCAGGACTTCCTCAATCTTGCAACAGCGAAAAGCATGGCATTTTCAGTCACCTTGCGAGATAGCCATTTTTTGTTTGTTTTGGGCCTTTCCCATCGCATGGAAACGTCTAGAAACATTTGATTCATCAACTGATACACTGTTCGTATGTTTTTTGAGAGTTTGTGGTCGGGTTTCGTACAATGAGTTCATTCGTTCATTCATTGTTTCGAGCTTTTTTGGTTCTCCAGGCGCTTTTTTGCGGTTGAAATCACGATCTTTAAACCGTTGAAACCAAAATTCAAAATTGGGATATGATGGAAGATCATCAGCATAAGGTTCTGAAAGCGTTTGGCAGAAGACTTTCTCAAATTAAACAACAGCAAGAAAGCGTAGGTGTATGCTGAATAAATCAATAATATTAAATGGAAAACTGTTATTTTATGTGGAGGAAGGTCGAAACTATCGAACTCAACTGTTCTCTGACATTTCCCATTTGTTTATTATTTTTGCCTGTAGAAGTTGCTGACAAAAATTT